CTTGTCCAGAGCTGCTTACCATGTCATGCTATTAAAGGATTGCATTTTTAGGTTGGAAACTAAGGTCAGCTCGAAAGCCAAGTACCAGCAGCTCGACCCTTTCTGCCTTGCACAGCATCTCTGCAGGACAGTGCCACTGCCCTGCATCTTCTCCATGCACATCCCCCCTCCAACAAACACCAACTGGCTCAGCACTGATGAAGAAGCAGGTTTTCTTGACCTCCTCTCTCAAGCAAATCACCATTAACTCCCCAGCCCCCTTGCTGAAGTCAGCACTGGGTTCTGCTCTGACAGCCAGCAGCCCATGCAAAACTCACCCTCTGGGATATGCAATTAGTGCTGTTTCTCCTAATGAAGGATTCCTGTTTGCTTAATTAACTCAAAGGTTAACAGGATTACCAGCAACTCTGTGCAACCTTGGGAGCTGTGATATACTTGAAGGGCTTCAGGAAGGGAAGGCAGAAAGACGTGTGTTAATCATTCCTTGTGAAGACATGCTTGCGAATAGAGCGGCTGATAATATTCACCCTGCTTCCCATGTATTTTCCAGAGATCTGTGGGAACAAACCAGTAAATATTGATAGCCAGGAAAGAAAGGGCAGGAGTACCAGCAGCCCTGCATGGCCACAGTGCCCTTGGCTCCTCTCGCACAGGACCTCCAGGTGCCGTGCCAGGGCACGCAGCAAGTAGTTGCACAAGTCTTCTGTCCATAAAACAGTTGTGTCCAGCTCCATGGGACATGCCAGGCAGCTTTTATGAGAGCATGTACACACAACAAGATGCTGGACCATCCAAGAGGATGTTGCTGGGTGAGAACAAGCGGCTTATTTCCAGAGGAGAAGGGAGCTATAGCTCACATGAGCCCCCATGCACACATCCAGGGACAAGGGAGTAAGGGTGTGAGTGGTGATGTTCCAGTGTTGTCACAGAGCCCAGGTCACCAAGATGGGGACATTGACAAGACAGTGGCAGAGCTGGTCAAGAAGACCCCATGGTGAGAGGGGAGCAAGGGTGGAGAAGGTGAGCCTGGAGTAAGCCAAAGCCATTCCACCCCAAGAGCTCACCAAACTGCGTCCTGCATCTTTGGCTGCCAAAGGAGCAGGGGGACATCACTGAAGTAGGCAAAAGAAACCTCCTGTCAGATGCAGCCAGCTTTGTGCATGATGACGAAGAATGCTGATTTGGGTGGTCCAAGAGTGACTTTGCAGGAGCTGTGGGCACAGAGCTGCCAGTGGGGTCAGGCAGAAGGACACAGAAAGCAAGGGGAAACACCAAGGGAAGACATGTGGACCAGTTTCATGGAGCAGCGTCGGCAACATGAGCCCTGGGTCTTGCAGCACTGGCCGGCTGCTGGAGCAGCTCTGGCTGCTGGATGTGGCCCAAGGAGCAGGGGCTGAACCTCTTTTCATCCCATGGGCAGCCCAGCTGGGCTGGCACAGCCTCGCACTGCAGTGCCCAAAGCATTGCAGTCAGCTCTTGGATAGCCATGCTGGCCAGAAATGAGATTTGGACATTAAATGAATGGGAAAAGGGTCAGCTCACCAGTGGGTCAAGCTGAACTCTACCACTTGCTGTTCAACCCCTTTCCAGTTAGTTATTTCGTGGTAATTATTAATACCAAGCCTCTGTCTATATGTGGGGCCTCACAATAGCTAATTTTTAAACTGTCACCACCGTTACAAACTGTTACATGTGTCCTGGCTGGAGCCACCTTCCCATTTAAACACTCTTAAGGCCAATACATTTCCTTGCTGATTAATAGTGGTTGCTTTGAAACCACAAAATAATCTGCTGGCCAGCATTCCCTTCCACTTCATAGTTTTAAAGCAGCATTAAAGGGAATTAATGAAAATAAGGCTTCAGAATAACAGCAAGGCTTAGCCTTTCCTGGAGACCCTTTGAACTCTAGTTAAATTAATTTTCCTCCTGCTCTCGAGATTTTCAAACACAGATCTGGCAGCTCAGCACTCGTGAACCATGCAAACATCTCATCCTTCTCAGGTCCATAGCTAAACTATGACACCAGTGATGAAACACCAGACCCAGGACCGGGCAGGACATCTCTTCCCTATCAGCATTGGTGACTACCATACCACCAGTGAAAGACCTCCCCTGCCTACAAGATCCCTGCGGACCCCACAAGCAGGGCTGACCTTTCAGTTCCCCCTCTCCCTCCCAGGTGGTAGAGGAATTTGTTTCCTGGTCACTGGTTAAGATGTTCTCATAGAGATAAAATCCCGATGGGAAAGGCTCCTCCCATCCTCACCATTCCACTCCCTGGTCACCTGGAGCTGGAAGGCACCACTGGGCCCTGGCTCTCAAACCACTTTGTCCTTTCCAGTAATTACTGTTTTGCAATGTAGAGAGTAATAAAAGTCTTGGGACTAATAAGAGCTCTGGGAGGAGCAGAGAGGGGGGAGCAAAAGACCAAAAGCTGACCAGATTTCAAACCTCCTCCTGGGGTCTTTTAGACTCTCGTGGCATTTTAATCCTCTTGGCATTTCCAGCCACAGGGATAAAGGAGCAGAAATCCTAGGCAGAGGTATGGGGGCTTCAGGGCACATGTCTGGCTGGGGCTGGTCAGCAGGATGCAGCAGTCATCTCCCACAGCCCCACGCCAGCATCAGCCACCCGTCCCTGGCCCACACACTCTCCTCATGTGGATACCTTAGTGCTGGGAAGACGATGGCAAAGCCCAGCTGAAGGGTGACGTGGCCCTAACAGACCCTGAAAGTTGTTGCAAGACTAAGCAAGGAACCAGAAAAACTTCTTGTTTCAGAGGCTTTGCTAAAAGTTGCATAATGTGGGGAAACATGGCTGTGCCCTGGAAGAGGGATGATTGGTTATGGTATACACAAAGGGTGCTGTATGGAGAAACAGCTTGGTGACACTAACCTTTGAATTGCAGTGGAAAAGGAGAACAAGCTCTTGGGGAGCCTGGTCACTGGCAGTGACTGAGGGTCTCAGCATGGCCACGTCTATAGCCTTGCAAAACGTGAGATCTGTTGTTCTCCCCTCCATCAGAGGTGGTAGTCAGCCTTCTGATCACCAGCACCCTTCTCCCAACATCCATGTCTGCCAGAGGCATCCACTGCAGGCAGAAAGCCCTGCCATGGGAAACCTGGATTAACACCACTGCCAGGGTGCACCAGGACCACATGTTGAGGGCAAAAAGAGGGAACAAGCCTTGGAGAAACACTGGTCAGCTGTGCAGTGCTGGAGGAGATGCCCCTTACCAAAAGGCGTCACCAGCTCTTACATCCTCCCAGATTATCAGCATCACCAGGAGCCTCCAGCAAGAATCTTCCAGGATGCTCAACCCATCAATCTCTGTCCAAGCAATGCTGGAGGAGCACTGGTCCCCAACTCCACCACAGCTCTGCCCCTGCCAGGCCGTGGCCCTGTTGGTCCATACCCCAACCTACATGCAGACATCCCAGCCACACCTTGGACACACCTATTGGTCCCCAGGTTCTGTCCCATCCTGCTGCTGTCTCCAGACCTGATCCCAGCCTCAGACCTGACTCTTCACCACCTGATTCCCAGTGGATCTGGACTCCGTGCTGATTCCAGCTGCTGCCCCAAAGCCCATCCTGCTCACCTTGTATGGAGACAGTGATGGACAAGTCGCACCATCTGTGCCAACATGTTGGGCTCCCCATCCTTTCGGGAACAGTCAGCTCTTGTGGTACCCTGGCATGTAGGAGAGAACACAAAGCTATTGCCAGTTTAGACCAGACAATGACAAGCAAGATCCTGATTCTCTTGTAGGGCTTTGATCCCTTACTTCAATCCATTTACAGCCTACTTGATCCTGGGCAATTGTTTTTATATGCAGCAGTAAAGATTTTCCCACCAAACCAAGCACTTCTACTGAGTGCTGGCTCTTGAAGGATTCCACAGCCCTGAGCTGTGTTCTATAAACATGCCATAGAGAAATAACATGAACAAACAGCATGAAAAGCATTAAGAAGATGTTATTACAAGGAAGATATTTGTTCCCCTTGTAGTGGGAAATCCCCAGGAAAAGACCAGGCTGGCCTTTAGTCAAAGGTCATCAGACTTGTGTAACTACAGCGAGCTCTAGGGAAGCTGGAGTTACCAAACTGCATCTCCTTGTCTGCCATGGAGGATGCTAGCATAAGAGCACAGCCACAAACAGTCTTTCAGGGGAGAGTTTTACACCAGAAGAACAATCAGCTTTTTACTCATTTATGTTATATCTAATAGTAACACTTGCAGGCTCTGTCTTACTTTGTCATTGTCTGAGCTCTGTCAAGCTCCTTAAGATAAAGGACTTAATAAATTGGAGAAGCCAAAAGAAGGGACCACCTGGGTCTGGTTTAGCCCTCTGCAAGTTACATCTGAGGATAGAGATCTTCAGAGGCCAATTCACTCCACTACAGCAGAGATAACATGAAGCATCTTGTGGACATGGTATTGGACATGGTGGCTTGGGGAGGTTATTCCCACCTTCAGCAACCAAAGCTGAATTCAAGGGTTGACTGATTGCAAGTCAAGCTGTCCTGGCTTTGGGGAGAGATGCAGTTCCCTGGGGCAATTCAGGGTTAAACCTACTGTACTCACAAATGTCCAAGTACAGGTTGCTCTTTTATCCATGGTGCAATTTCTCCTGGTCACAGGTGACCGCATAAAAATAAAGGAGTTGGGGATGGAAAGGTAGCCGAGGGAAACACGGAGGATATGCCATGGCCAGATTCCTGCCCCCTGGAATGTCCCTTTCTGAGCTCAGGGCAGTGACCAGCTCCTGTCCCAGCTTATGTACTGCAAGCACACAGGGTCGTGGCTTGAGGGTACAAGCCAGAGAGCAGTATCCCACCACAAACCTTGGAAGTAATAATCTCCTGAAGGTTTTCAGCAGGGTGCTGAGTCTGCTAAACTCACCTTCCTGCATCTGCAGCCTTCAGCAGCAGGGTGCTGAGCCAAGAAGCAAACTTGGACACAAGACACAGCCCTCCTCTCCATGATCAGCACTTCTGCCTGCTCATACAACTTGACTTGGGACAGCTTTCTGACATCTAACACATGGCAAGACTGGTTGCCACTTTGAGGAAAGATCCCACTGTTTTGGTTAATTTTTTTTGTTAACTCAGCCCTTTCCCAGCTCACAGTTGTCAAACTCTCTCATTCATGTACCTCTTGCTCAGAGACTTGGATGGTGAAAAGGAAAGCAAGGGATACCTACAAGATCATGATCTGTATGGGTAAGGGTATTGGTAAGGGTAAGGAGCAATGCAAAGACAGAGAAAGGCTTTGTGCACTGTCTTCTAGTGTTGGTCCATCGAAAGGAAAATAATGGTCCCAGACCATCTAAGGAACATCTGGAAAGAGACACATCCTGCACCAACAGAAAGACAATGGCCCAAAGGTCTCTGAACACTGTGAACATACTCATTACCTGGGGCATAGGCGCTGTTTTGAAGGGGCACCTTGCCAACCCCTCCCTAGAGCTACCATGCATGAGAACACAGAGACCACCCTCCAGAGATGGTCTTCACACTTTCCAAGGCTGGTGGAAGCCACTGCAGCTACACAGACACCATTAGAGACTTTCTGTTCCTTGTGCTTTGACCTCATGTCTGTAGTTAGTCCTAGGCCACTTCAAACCATACATGTATCTATGGCTTCCCCCTTTTAGCATTGACAGGACAATGCTAAACAGCCCAAAATGCTCCAGTAGCTCTCTCCTGAGGCTCAGTTCCTCATCTCTTAACTTCTTCCAAACCTGGACCTGCATTCTCCTTATTGTGGAACTGCCTTTTTGAAGATGGGGTCAGCAGATGTGAAGATGGCTCTTCCTGGGATGTGTTGTCTATCCAGAAGCCCCTCCAAGGTGTCCTGCTGGCTCCCCTGGGTCAGAGTATTGCAGAAAATACAGAGGATAAGCATGAGGAAGAACCAGAAAGCAGGAAACGTAGAAATAAATGTCCACAAGGAAGTTCATTCTCTTGGCCCACATTAGAGAACAGGATCCAAAGCCAAGGCAGTGGAGGTAAGAGGGGCACAAGTTATAATACGTGACCCTCAGAACAAAGTTCAATCAAACTGTAGCCTAATGAATCCCCTCTGTGCAAACAGCAGCTGCTTGCTCAGCAAACACACCTACCCCAGCCCCAGCTGCTGCAGCTTCAGGCAGGAGTTTTAGAGGAGATGTTTTAACATCTCCAAAGAACTGGTATTTGGACCACTTATGCTACTGCTGTGTGTTGGTGGGGAAGAGTGTATGTGCAGACACAGTGCACCCTCACTGAACCACCATCATCAGTCCTCAGAGGTGCAACCAGGAGTGCCCTTGCTCTACTGGATGCAGGAGAGTCTACCAAAAGGGTTTGGTAAACACCCATGTCCGAATCCACAACACACAAGGGGCTCCATTCCCACCTTCAGCTCCTTGGCTTTCTGTAGCATGATATGTGCACAGCAGTGTTTGTTCCCCTGGGATAAATGTGCCCTCAGACCCCACGGAAGAGAGTGAGCTCTCCAGGCCTAGGAGCAAGATGAGCAAGGACATCAGAGTCATCAGGGCAGGAGTAAGGAAAGAAGGCCAAGAAGACTGTGCAGGGGCAGAATACCTGTGCTCAACTGCGTAGGAAGGAAACAAGCTGATTATGCTCCTCTTCCTCACCACATCCCCAGGACTGCTGCATCCACCTCAATCTTCTTTCCTCCTCCTGCCCCACAGGTCTACTCAGAGCACCCCCTCTGGCTCTTGAGATCACAGCACGGTTCTCTTAGGCCCTATCAGTCTCTGACGAGTCACAGCTCTCCTCACACATAGACTCTGGACCCCAATCTGTCCCTTTGAACCTCCGACCTGCCACTGCCAACAAGAAATGGCGACAGCAGCCTTGGCCCGGCACGTAGTGCTGTTTGCATAGCCCTTGCTCAAACGCAATGGCCAGAGCTGGTGCTGCATGGGGCTTTGCACCTCCCCACCATCAGTGCCGTGACCTCCCCCCCCACCAAGACCTGCTGCCTTAAGCAGGATTACAGTGCCACACTGTGCACCTCCATCTCTGCTTCAGCACCTGTGGGAGCTCACGAGCAGGAGTTCATGGTCCAGGTGCAGAGACTGAAGTCTCACACTCCATCCATGACTCACCTCGTCACTCCCCAGCTCACCCACGGTGTCTCAAGAGGGCACCGACGTTCAAGTCAAGTTAATTACTGTGGCTGCATGTGATAATCAAGCATAAACATAAGGCAGCATTGTACAGTGGGGAGCTGTTGGTCTTGGCAAAGACAGCAGTAACTTGGCCAGTGTTCAAGCCCTGGATTACTTCTGTCAAAACTGTCCTGAAGGCCAGAAGTGATGGGAATGTGCTTTATCTGCCGCCTTGGTGCCAACTGTGGCAGAACCAAGCAGAGAGCTTGAGAGCCCCAGTAGGGGCCTGACCTACAGCTGCTGCCCTAAGCAAATGCTCCCCATTTACACCTTGAGCTGTGAACCCCACAAATCACTTGCACTATTGCCTGCAAAAGCAGCAAAAATAAAGAATAAATAAATAGATCCACCAGCAGGTACTGGGACCCCAAAAGGAGCAACTCACCTTGTAGAATATCTTCAAGTTCAGAGTCCTTTTGGCCAAAGGGAGAAGTGGCAGACTCCTACCTTTTGTGTACCGAGTTAGGAACAGAACATCAGCTCTCGGCTTTCCATTCCTAGCTGAAGGTGTCATACACTTCCTCGTGGAAGCTCCAGGGACCAGACCAAGAAGCTGATGGGCACAGCTCAGACCTGAACGTCTTTCTGTGAGGATTTCATTTAAATCACAGAATGGTTTGGGTTGGAAGAGACCTTAAAGATCATCCAGTTCCAACCTCACCCTGAAAAACATTCTGGGCATGTCAACAGATTCCTCTTGCACAACCAGGGACAGAAAATGCAAATCTCAGGGGCTTTTTTCCCTACAAAAAGTAGCTCTGATCAGGAAATACCATACCATGCCTGCTCTGTGGGCAGCTACCTGTGATTGCCACGTTGCTTTGATGACCCCTGCAGGGACAAGCAGTGAAAAGCCCTGAGTTTTTAATCCCTTCTTCACCTAGAAGAGCTGTGCTCTGGACATGGGCACTGCGGTTTTTGTAGGGGACAGTCAGGTCCTTCCCCAGGGGAAGCAAAGATTTAACACTCACAGGAAGCTCCCAGATTTCAAGGTCCTTGTACAGGTAACAGTGACTCTCAGTAGCATCTAGCTGCAGTTGTGTGTGAATGGAGAAACCAGATACAACATCTGCTGCATGGAAATTGCTGCAAAAGAGACAAATAGGAGTGCACACACGTTGCTGACAGAGTGATGCTGGGCATGTCCGAGGACACCTCCTGCTGTTTTCCATCTTCCCCTTGCTTTTGACACACAGAGGTCCTCCATCCCACCCAAGACTCCCACATGTCTGGATCGCTGTTTTCAAGCTCATCCTTCTACATAGCCACATAGCCAGTTCTTTTTCCCATTCTCTGGTGGGCACCCTTTCTTCCCCAAGTCCCTCAAGGACACTAGCACTAGCTCTTTTGTTCTCCTTCCTGATGGGAATCCATGACCAAATTCTCAACAGATCTGACACAGCCTCATACAAGGACTAATACTCTTGGTATATGAGGAGGAGGCAGCTCTGCTGCCGTTATTTAAAGGAAAATACAACTCCATGACTACAGCATCCTGCCTTTTACTGAACTGATTCTTGCTTGCATGCAGCTGGGACTTGGAGAGAGCAGAACAAACTGTCATGTCCCTCCTCTAAGACATGAAGAGAAGATAGAAAGATCTGATTTAAGTGTGGACACCTCCTCCAATACTGACTATAGCCCACACAGTAATTACATTTCATCATGGCTGCAAGTCTCCCAAATGTGAACTGAACCAATGTTTTAAGAGATCTCAGACAAAAGGCTGCTAAAGAAGCATCAAAAGGCACACACCTTGCTCTGATGCCCTTCTTGCAGGGAGCTCACAGGAACTCTCTGTGATATCTCCCCATGCACCCTCCACCACTGACAACATTTCCCTTCTTCTGATCTCATCGTCAAAGGCAGAAGGCAGGACGCTGGTTGTGGCATAACCCTGCAAAGACATCTCAGTCAGAAGGGCATGTATGTAAGGGGTACGCCCCTTGGAGACCCAGCAGAGCAGCCCATCTTGGCCATCATCTTCAGATGATGACCCTCAGCTTCCCTCCATAACCCAAGGAATACCCCTCAGTGAGATCTGAGGCCAGGGTAACCTGCACATCTCCACCTTTGGGGCAGCTGTTTCGTACTTCATGCCAATGCTGTAGCTTTCCTAGAAACCATAAAATCTCTCCTGCGTTTTGCTCTGTTTTGTTTGTTTGGGTTTTTGTTGTGGGTTTGGTTTTTTTTTTTGTTTTTCTTTTTTACCAGATGAAGCATGGACATTAATCTGGGTGCCCTGTCATGCTTTTCATAAATAGGAGGTGGCATCAGACCCTGAGGTCCCCACCCTATTTGCCTGATGATTGGTTTCAAAAGGCATTTGCTCTGTAAACAGCTGCTCCACCTGGTTTCCCTCGGTCAACATGGCTTTTCTAGTCAGGCTCCACCTGAAAACCACTTCCACTATTCTGTTGCAAAAGCCAGACTTCTGTTGCAAAGCCAGGACTGGACACAGCGCTTACCCACTCTTCCAGATCAGATGCTGCTGCACAGGACTCCTGGCATGGAGAGTCCAGAAGACATCTTTGGCCATCCCCAGGTCAAACACAGCTTCCCAAGCTCCAGCAGCCTCATTTCCCACTCTGCTCAGTACCGGTGAGGCCGCATTTGCAGTGCTGGGTCCAGCTCTGGGCTCCCCAGTACGAGAGAGAGATGCACTACTGGAGCCAGTACAATGTAAAGCCACAGAGGTGATGAAGGGTCTGAAGCATCCTTCATATGAAGAGAAGCTAAGCGAGCTGAGGCTGCTCAGCCCTAAGAAGAGTAGTCTCAGGTGGATGTACATCTCATAGCTGTATATAAATATATCACAGGAGGGAACGAAGACAGGGGAGCCAGACTCTTCTCTCAGAGGTGCCCAGTGACAGAACAAGAGGTAATGAGAGCAAACTAAAACACACACAGTCCACCCAAGAGGGGCTGCCTCTCTCCACTTCTGCTGAGGAGAGCCCATAGCACCTCACGCTTGGGATGCCCACTTTCATTTCTGCTTCCAGACACTTGCAATCAGATCAGCAAGTCCTCCCAGTAACATGTGACCTGGTGTCTTTGGTGAATACAATACGGACAGCCGTCAGGAATTGTTTGGAAGATCCTGGATCCTTCAAAGCCCTGAGGGATCTGGTCTAAGGTCAAAGCCACTGTGATACATACAGGTCTTCCACTGCGGGCTTCAGAGGCTTCAAGACAAAGTCGTGGTTTGTGAGGGATCACTCTAATCTCTCAGAGGTCTCTGGCAAAGAAACAAAACCAACCAAAAAGAAATGGCAAAGCCTGTTCCCCTGGTGCGTGGAGATGGATTTGGTTGTTCAAAGGCTTCTGATAAAGTGACCGAGATTAAAGAACAAATAAGCGTACGGTTAGGGCCAAAGTCCCAATGCAAGCCAGAAAGCGTAGAAAGCCAGAAGCAAAGAGGCACTTCTCACCTAAACATGAACACATCCAGATGTTCTTCAGCCTTCACGCTTCAGATGAGCCCTGCCTGGTCCCCTCTGATCCCCATGCTGGTGGGATTCCAGCAGCTGCAGCATGACCGTACCGGTCCCACTGTCTATGCCTCGCTCCCAACTTACCAGCCAGATACATTTGCTCCCATTGGCCTTGAGCATCCTTTGAGAGGGAGCTGCTGCCGATGGGCAGGTAATTGCAGAGCAGACTGACTGCCATGTCCCAGGAGAGCTGCTGAAGTTATTAGAAATAAATTTAATGGACATGTCTCACTGGCTCCAAAGTGGCACATTAACTACATATCAGTTCAGGTAGGCACTAATGGACCGGTGGCTCGCCAGCAGCGGAAGGGGAGGCCCGGTGTGTGATAGATTTCAAAATGACTTGGAAAGCAAACGCTGGCCTTGCTGATAATGTGGTGCACTGGGTTTCCTGGAGAAAGTCATGCAGAAATTATTGTGGGTCATTTTATGAATAGGGCTGTCTGGAAACTGGTCTGAAAGGCAAACAGCAAAGTGGCACAAAGAGTTCCCTGGGATTGGGCAGCAAAGCTTGTCCCCTCTCTGAATTTCCACATCACCAGATCCCAGCAGGAACAGGCAACTTTGCCTTTTGAGTTTCTCTTCCAGAGATGCACTGGGTCATGACCAAGAAAGAACACAAGAGATCCTGACCAGGATTATGTACCACAACTGTACCTCCTGTGAGGTCCCCATGGACACACAGACTTGTCCTAAGGAAAGCTAGTGAGCTGAGCAGCAGTAAGTCCCACAAGGGACAATCAAGTGAAAGGAAACAACGAAAGAGGAGGAAGATCCAGCCTGTCTGGGCACTCACACATTGAAAAGTCTCTGGATGCTCACAGGCAAGGGTAGCCCATGCCCTACAGCAATAGGATGTCCCCTGAGCCCTCAGCCACCTACCCCACATCACTGTGCCTTCCCCAGATTGCATGTGCCATGGTTGTCCAGAGAGGAGGAGAGGGGAGAAGCACCAGCCCTCAGTCCCAATAGCAGAGAAGGACGAGGGAACTATAGCAGACGGGGAGCTACCCCACAGCTCTCGCCCAGCCCCAGGCTCCCAGATAAACTGCCAGCCAAGGCAGATAGCAGGGACGCAGGATGGGTGGAGAGCACTGCAGCCCCACAGCAAACTTGTGGTTTTGATGAGGTGGACAGGGAGAGGCAGCGCTTGCCTGTGCCAGGGTGAGGGGAACGGCTGCCTGCCTGCCTGAAAGGTCAGGGCCAGGAGGAAGCTGGGCCCTTTTGTCCCTCAAGAAAGCCAAGGTCTGGGCTGGAAGTGACTTATCTGCCTCGTGTGCATTTCCTGAGACCCGTGGGCATGGGAGAAGGGAAAGCAGCATCACCAGGGTCTTCTCCACCGATGCCAGGAGATGTGGGGAGTCTGGTACTGCCAAATTCAAGTACTGTTGCACAGCCTAAGCCACTGGTCCGCATGGCACACATCACAGCCACACGTACTCTGTCTCCACCACTGCCCCAGGAGTCTGGTGCCCAAACAGGAGCGGGACCAACCATGACTGGGACAAGCCTTGAAGGGAAAGGATGTGAAGGAAAAGCCTGGTCAAAAAGCTGGCTGTAGACCTGGAACAGCAAATATGGTGAGGGGGAATAAAGGAGGGTGCTGGGGATTGCTGTCACCTCCGCCCAGGGTTGATGGAGCCAGGCTGCATTGGAGACAGTTATCTCCATGGCATGCAGGTACGACTCAGACTGCACAGGGTCTCAGCAGCACAGACCTACAGACTATCAACACAGAGATTATCAAGAGCTAAACACTCATGACCAAACCATCTCTGACCTCAGCCTTGTCAAGACATAAAAGCAAGATGCAAGGAGGGAAAAGAAGGGACAACCACAAAGAGCAGAGCAGGAGGACACTACGGGTCAAAGCGGCACATCAGCAGCCATGGCTGACACCAAGGAGTAAGGCAGGGATGCAGATACTGGTGTCACAGCCACGCCTGCAGTGTCCACAGCCTGCCCACTGCCCTGCCTGATGGGGCAGATATTTTGGAGGAGGCAGCTTGCTGCCAACAGCCCTTGAGGCAAGGGCCGTGTAACTGTGCCATTCACTGGAGCAGAGGCTGGTCACTCCCTGGGGCAGGCACCAGGGAGCAGGTCCTCTCCGGGGAGGGGCGACCGGCCGCAGGCACACAAGCCAGGCTCCGGGTGTTTGCTTTCCATTCTCCCGGTGTGCCGATAACCGCCCGCTCCTCAGCCGAGGCTCCAGCTCACCATGCTCAGATTCAGGAGATACTTGACCACGTAAGTGGATTTTTAACTTATTCATCTCTTTAGGTAAAATACTACCTCAGTAAGGAAAATTGTGTTCCATTCTACCTAGAGGTCATCTCCTTGCAGGCTCCTCTGTGCTGGGAAATGGTTGGAGATTGAAGTGATGATGACAATGGGCAGAGGAGTGCTTCTGCTCTGCATAAACACAGGGAGGTCTGGGTTGACAGGGCTCTCTCTTCTTGTGAAGCTCCAAGGGCAGCACTGCTCCCCTGCTTGCTAGGCAGGAAAATAACATAGAGTCACAGAATGCTTTGGGTTGGAAGAGACCTTAAAGCTTCCAATTCCCCTGCCACGGGCAGGGACACCTTCCACTACACCAGGTTGCTCCAAGCCCCGTCCAACCTGGCCTTGAACACTGCCAGGGATGGGGCAGCCACAGCTTCTCTGCGCACCCTGTGCCAGGGCCTCAGCACCCTCACAGGACATAACTTATTCCTAATGTCTAATCTAAATCTCCCCTTTTTATAAGGCCTGAAACAGCAAAGGAAGAATAATGAAAAGATCTTGACAGGGCAAGTAGGATGCTGATCCCTCCTGCCTTGGGTCAGGCGATGGCCCAACACTCAGCTCTGCACACTCACCTGCAGAGCAGATGAGTCCAACCAATGAAAGCATGTTAGGGTAAGGTACACTCTTCCACAGCCTCTGTTTTGGAGAGGGTGGACAAGGAGCAGAGAAGGGCAAGGCTCGACTTGTCCTTTTGCTGGATTTTTGCATTTCAGGGCAGGACAGCTTTTCCACACATCTTATCTGCAGCCACAGCTGGAGCAGGTGGCAATCACCTCCAATGGAAGGCATCGGAGAGCAGGGAAAACAAAGATTCACTCTCTGTTTATAAGGATACAGTGCCAATATTCCCAGGCCAGGAAGGGCAGGGAAAATGCAAGCGGTGCCTAGTGCTGCGGCCACAGAGGGAGCTGAGGCTGCTCCGGCGAGGCGTTCCTGAGCAGCCAAGGCACTGTGAGGTTATCGCTGTTTGCCTTGCAGTGTGATATTCGTGTCCCAGCTGGAAATTTCCACTAGACTACACCACTTGAGCACAGCTCTGAGGTGCATTGGTTATCACTGCCCGTGCACCTCTGCCCCATGGAGATGCCACCTTACCTCGAAAAGCAGTGCAATTAAAAAGCCTCAAGGCGCCCTTCCGCTCTGCCTCACGTTTGTCCTACCTACTACTGGCCTGCAATGTCTGTTTCCTTGCAGGAAGCTGAAAGCAGTATACAGGTGCCAGCCAGGTGGACTCTGGGTCTTCTTCAGCCTCCTCATCCTCTTCTTGGTCATGCTTCGGGTTGCAGAGAAGCTGCAGCCTGCCAGGTAGGTCACAAGTGGGACTGCAAACCTGTACCTCATCCTCCAGCCTTTCACTGACCACTGCTGTGGGCTCAGAAGTGCCCTCCTGAAAACCATGCAACAGCATCTTCTTCAGACAGGAGGGGAAGTTCTGTGATTCCAATTCCCTTCTTGCACCCAAGGCAACCTCCCAGGGCAGTGCTCGAGTCCTACACCCACCAGCAATAACACCCACCCCAAGAGAGATGGGGGAACACGGTTTGGGCTGCCTGCAGGGGGGTTCACTGGGCTGCAGAGGAGCTGCCCTCTTTCCATCCTTTGCATCTCAGACTTGTACCCTCCCTGTTACAGAAGCTGCCAGTGCGAGCTGGAGCGTGCCCTGCAGCAGACCACAGACCATGGCCAGAAGCGGCTGAGGGATGCCCTCCAGACCCCTGACCTGCTGTGGGAGGATGGTTCCCTGTCCTGGCAGAGAAAACCCGTGCCCGACATCACCTCGACTGAGGGCACACAAGACATCCTTCAGACTCAATCATACCTCAACCAGGAGACCCCACTGGAAACCAGCCCAGGCAGCCAAGAGGAGCACTGGACATCACCGCCTGCGAAGAGCAGCAAGAAGGTGAAAGCCCAGCTGTCACCCACAAGGCTGAAATCCCAGCTTCCTGACCTGAAAAAAGCAACCAGGGAGGGCCCTTCTCCAGGTCTTCCTGGGGGAACCTCCACAGTGTTGGGAGATGCGGGTGCTGTCATCAGCAAATTCATAACCTTTGCAAACAGGATGACCACAGAGGAGCACCAGAGACTGTCACCACCAGAAGTGACACAGGTGGTGGTACAGAGCCAGCCTCAGCCTCAAGCCATAGATTCCCCCCAAGACCAGCGGGGCAGCTCACTTAAATACACCATGCCAAATCCTGCTCAGCCTCCACAGGCAGAGGACTTCCACAAAACACTCACGGAGACGGGACTATTCCCAAGCCAGACAAAAGTCCCTAAGGTTGAGGAGGTGACACTTGGAGACCAGCAGGGCAGAGGAGTCTCCTCTCAAGGGCAGAGATGTGAGCCCAAGACTGACATTGTTTTCCTGAAGGTCCACAAGAGCGCCAGCAGCACCGTCATGAACATCCTCTTCCGCTTCGGCGAGATGCACAACCTCACCTTTGCTTTCCCCAACGGAGGGGGTAACCAGCTCTTCTACCCACGCCACTTCTTGGCCAGCTTCGTGCAGGGCTTCTCCCCCGGGAGCCCTCAGCGGTTCAACATCCTCTGCCACCACATGCGGTTCCTGCAGCCAGAGGTATGGGCAAAGCCAGTGATGCCTTGGGACAGGGGAATGGGGAAGAGAGAGAAGCTGGTGGGGAGCAAGGTGGGACACCCGTAGAGCATGTAGGCTTCTCAGGGTTGAAGCTAAAGAGAGACAGGATTGTACCTTGCCTGTTATGGGCATCTCTGGAGAGCTTCTATAATTAGGTCTGATGAATCATTGTGCTGTGACCTGAGACAAGCCAGGAGATAGCAACCATAGCAGTCAGCTGCTATCATCTCGTTCCTGTCTGCTGGAGATGTCTTACCTCACAGATCTGGGGAAAGACAAGGAGTTAGAACATAACTCAAGTCCCAGCAGGCCACCCAGCTGCGGAAGCAGGTAGTAGGGAGCTTTAGTCCCTACACTCCCTGCGTACCTCTTCTGGGGCTCCCACAACTGGCACAAATGTTCCTTTGGTGAGCTGCACCCCAGCACCCCTCATCCCCAACCTCACCAAGCGTTTCTGCTTCCAGAGCACAGGACTGTGAGCGAGCAGGACCCTTCTCCCTGCCCCCCCCTTTAAAACCTCCTTTTCCCCTCTGCAGGTGCAGAAAGTGGTGTCCAGCTCCGCTGTCTACTTCTCCATCCTGAGGAACCCTGTGCAGCTCATGGAGTCCTCCTTTGTGTACTACAAGGGCACGTCAGCTTTCTCCCGTGCCCGCAGCCTGGAAGAGTTCCTCAGCCAGCCCTACCATTACTACAACCCTGCAAACAGTGACAGCCACTACGCCAAGAACCTCATGACGTTTGACTTCGGCTTCAACCCCGATGGAGAGGTCTCTGCTGAGCGGGTGCAACTCATGCTGAAGGTTATTGAGGCATCCTTTGACTTGCTCCTCATCTCAGAGTACTTCGATGAGTCCATGGTGCTGCTGAAGGAGATGCTGTGCTGGGACCTGGACAGCGTTGTCTCCTTCCCACTCAACATCAGGGACAGCAGCACCAAGTCGCCCTTGCCAGACAGCGTTGTGAAGAAGATAAAGGACTGGAATAGGCTGGACTGGGAAATCTACATCTACTTCAACAGGACCTTCTGGGAAAGGATTGACAGGGACATTGGCAGGGAACGCATGCAGCAGGAAGTAAAGGCACTTCGGGACAGGCAGGCAGAGCTGGCGAGGACCTGCCTGCAAGGGACAGGCAGCGTGGCCCCAAAGGACATCAAAGACTCTTCCCTGCGCCCACTGCAGCATGGCAATGCAAAGATCTTGGGCTATAACCTCAAGCAGGGCTTGCGTAAGGAGATGGAGCACACGTGTCGGCGGCTGGTGACCCCGGAGCTGCAGTACAGCAGCATCCTCTACAAGAAGCAGTTCGCCCAGAAGCAGCCCCAGACCCACCAGCCCGGTCCCTCCCAGCAGGACAATGCCCTGAAGAACAACCTGAAGCGCACCCAAAACTGAGCCTCCTTGTCCCATCCAGGCATGGATCTCCAGCTGTCTTTGCCAAGGACAGTGAGGCGCCTGCCCACCAGAGCCCCTGCACACCTCTGTGTGCACCTCTGCAAGGCTGTGCATTAGCTCTTGGGTGCCACTGGTGCAGAGCAGGACAGGATGCAACAGGGGATCCCAGGGGTGCAACGTGACACAACTCTTCCAGATAGGCCCTGAGCAAACAGGGCAAACCCCTCATTGGCAGCTGAGCCCTTAGAGGAGGCGATGCGGGGCAGTGTGCTGCACAGCACTCACTCCAGCAGTAAGGAGCAGAACCAGGAGGGGAACCCAAGTTCTCAGCCCTGCTCTGGAGATCACAGCAGTGCAGAACCAAGCTGTAAATCAGAGCTGTGGAGCTTGATTTACAGCTTGGGAACAAGTTTGTCTGCCCTGCCATAGCTCTCCTCCACTGAGCCTTAATGCTACTGTTGTGGAAAAGCAGCCTCTTCTTAAAAATAACAATGCTCACCATCACTCCTATGGAGTTCCCTGCAGTTACACCAGTTGGCCCAGCAGCCCAAGAAACAGGCCTCAGACACCTGAAAATGTCCCGGGGAAAAAGAAGATGAAAAATCAGCATTTTCTCCCTGGCTCTGTGGTTCACACTGCCCTCGGATGCTGCACTCCTATACTGCATTTATAGGCTCAGCATCCTACCCTGGAGCTGATGCCAACCCTGCAGTGTCAGACTGTGAGTTAAATACCCCTGCCTCTGGAAGACGTTTCGTGAGCATCTCTGCAGCCAGACATCCTGACCGACCGCTCTGGAGCCGCTATTCTGTAGGAATATTCTGTGCCAAGGGCACAATACAAGAATGGACTGTGGTGGACTTGTTAGCCATACTTTTCACAGCCTACACTTACCCTTGAATCAAAAGCAGAGCCAGCAAATGAGTCGGGATAAACAGAAGCCCACGATCCGGACCTTCAGCATGCTTCCCAATCCAGAAGAGGTTCAGTAAAAACCTACAGAAGGATCTGAGCATCCCAGGCTCTCCCTTGGCCAGCATCAGAGCACCAAAGGTTTTGGCTTCCACCCAAAGATGCTTTGTCTCCTGCTCACAGCTTAACCAGGATAAGAAACAGACTATGCTCCCACTGCTCTTCCCCAGGAGTGACTGGGCAGTGCTGAGCATCCACCCCAGCACAATGCATGGCCGTTGTTTTGGGGATGTTTGCCAAACGGGTTTTTGGTGTTGCTTGTTCCATAAAGTTTCATGTCTGCTGCATATCCACAGATCACTGCGTTGTGGTCCCTTCCCTCATTTCTCCTGCTGGGACATGGTATGGTCTCATGGCTTGCAGAGGCCCAACTCCCCCTTTGGGTTCCTTGGTGGTCTGCAGTTCACCCCAGAGGGCAATCCCACATGCAGGCCATGGAGATGAGCAGCCCACAGTCAGCATAGCCAGTCTGTCCCCCCAAAACCCACAGAGGACATAAGCAGGGCTGCAGGGAAGAGCAGAGCTGACACCAGGTATCAAACCTGCATCTCACACCTTCACTCTGGCTTTTAATCAGGTGCCACTTCCCTATTCACTGCTTGCACCTCAGTAAATAGAAGCAGATCTTCCCTGCTTGAGTGCCTGCTAAGGTGACCCATGGCAGGGACACTTGTACAACCAAGAGCATCGCATCCTCAACCATGCACGCTCCCATGAAAACCACAGACTCCCCAAAAGAGCCATGATGCACCCAGAATACATTCAAGCTCAGGAACTTTCTGCCCAGAGAGATCCTGCAAAAATGACTCCTTCCTGCAAAATGCAGGAGATGGCCATTTTTGACCAGCTCTTTCCTGTGGAGAGAAGCCCAGATTTAGGTTAGATATAAGGCAGAAATGGTTCCCTGTGAGGGTGCTGAGGTGCTGGCACAGGGTGCCCAGAGAAGCTGTGGCTGCCCCATCCCTGGCAGTGTTCAAGGCCAGGTTGGACGGGGCTTGGAGCAGCCTGGTCTAGTGGAAGGTGTCCCTGCCCATGGCAGGGGGTTGGAACTGATGAGCTTTAAGGTCCCTTCAACCCAAACCAGTCTGGGATTCTGTGATTCTCAGCAGTGTCTCAGATGGTATCAGATGTGTCGACCACCCCCCACACTGCTCAGAGCAGCAACATCACTCACCCAAATGCAAATCACAACATTTATTTTCATGGCAATTTCCATGAACTGTAATTTCACCTTCAAGAATACTCTGTGTGGACACAGAAAGGAGCCAGGGACATTTTTTCACCCACACCAGTGTGTACTGGCTGCCCAGGTCTCATTTTTAACCACACACACACTTTTTGCACTGTATCTTGATGCTTTACAGCACATGAATCTCAGCCTAAGCACCATGTCCACAGGGGAGCGAGGTTTCCTCTGGCCAGTGAACTCCCTTGCCCTGAAGCAGTTTAAATTCCTAAGAACTGTCAGATTCGACCTGTTCAATCCAATGATCTCAGTTTAACTCAAAGAACACCCATTTTTGACCAATATCCACATTTAGTAACTGGAAAGATCAAGTCCACTTCTTCCTCATCCTAAGCTTCCAAGGCAGTTACTGGCTTACTCTTGTGTTTTTATGGCTGCAAGTCAGGTTATTTCAAGCACTCCACAATGCAATAACTCAGGAGTTGCTCAAGCCTACCCACGGGATGGTCCTGACTTCCTGTAAGCTTCCTGGCCATACAAGACAACCAGCAGTTTGTGCAAAAGTACTGGGTTTTTTCCCCCCCACCAAGCTAGTCATGCAGGCTTGAAACATTCTGGGCTCTCCGGGGAGACTTTCAAGTTATTCCCAAAGGAGCTCAGGGATTCTGATGTCCTGCAAGCCCAGCTTGGCTGATTCCTTTGTGATGCTTTCAGAGTATCTCACCCTGAGGTAGGGAATGATCGGGAGGATGGATGATGGACAGGAGGAGAAACCCGCTCCCAGGAGAGGGGCTGCAGGGACCTCTTGGGCCCCCACGCGTGGCTCAGGCACAGGGCTTGGAGTTGTTCTTTTCCCCTTTCCTCTTCCTCTGCAGTTCATCACTCTCCACGTGCGCCACCACCTTTGCCTTGGGTATCTTGTATTTGCTCTTCTGTCTGTAAAGGAGGTTTTTCTGGAAGAGTCGTGGGATGTTTCCTTGGAATAGCAGGAGGGCAGTGAGCATCCCTGAAACAAGAGCATGGACATCTTCTGTGTGCTGCACCAAGCACCTCCACACTCCTCCCCATGGCTCAGCAGTGATTTTCAGGTCCTTCCCTGCAACCTTCATCATGACCAAAACATAGCCCAGCACCACTGGAGTCCCCACTAACGTCTGAGAAACCCTTGCTAAATTACTTGAAGAAGAATTTAACCACTGTGTCCTTAACGTAACAAGCAAGGTTTCTTTTGACCCAAAGATAGAGCCGTAAACCATGCCAGCACTCTTCTGTCTCAGCTATCTACATTCAAAGCAACACTTATCCTGCTCCCTGTGGTCATCTGGAAGCTGTGGACAACCTCTACACCACAGCTCAGCCTGTTGTTGCTCTAAAACATCCTTGCTTCATCTCCCCAAAACTTTGGCTTTGGGGGGAGTCTTCCTGTCTCCCAGGTAGGAACTTACAAAATGGACAGCAAAGAGATGACTCAACTGACAGGGAAGGAGGACAGAGGAGGACACTTGCAAATGGCAAGACCCGAGTTCAGTGCTTTGCCAGGAACAGGTTGTGTTAATGCCTGCATTTCTGGCTTGCACACTGATCCCCATCCCTGCCCCTTGGCACCTCCCCGGCAGATCTCACCTGTGAGGGGCCCCAGCCAGTACACCTGGATGTAGTCCCAAAAGCTGCTCCCAGAGCAGTGAAAAGTGGCGGCGGTGGCCAGGGCAGGGTTGAAGAAGGCCCCTGTGTATGGTCCAGCTGCATGGGAAGAGAAGCATGGCCAGCAGTCTCAATAGCATGTTTTTAAAGACTGACACAAAGCTGGGCCAGGAGACCTGCAACTTCTCCTGCCTGCCAGTAGCTGCATCTCTTGTGCCATATAATAGCAGCACATGGGGTAATCCCACCCTTGTCACCCAGAGCTTTGTGGGAAGGGCTCAGTGCAGGATCATTTGAGGAAAGCAGTCAAAGTCTTGGGACAAGCTATGGCTTCTCATGTGCTAGTGTTTCACCTGCTGCCTAATGGATATTCTGCAAAATAAGTAGAAACCAAACATCTTGATAACTGCTACCTGTAGAGAGGTAACAATTTCACCTAAGGATAAAAAAGGAACTGCTCCTCCCTGGCAAATTAGGTATATCTGTGACTTAGAAAGGCAAGTGCTGCTCACCTGTGTAGCTCAGGAAGGTGACAGTCGCTGCCAGTGCAGGGACCTGGTACACTGGGTGATTCTGTCGCAGCTTGAGAAGGACAAGGTGGAAAAGGAAAGAGCAGCTGCCTTCCACAAAGGCAGCGTGGTGCAGAGCGGTGCGGATGGAGGAGCTGCACTCTGGTGCTATCAGGTTCTGGATGAGGTGGAATTGCGTCAGCTCCCAGGACCAGTAGAGCTTGGTGACAGCCAAGCCCATGCCCATGCCTGCACCCTGGGCCAGCATCTTGGTAGCAGTTGCTGCTAGGCTGGACTCGAGGAGAAGGAACTCCTGAAGAGAGACGGTCGGGTTGGCAGATGCTCCATCAAAAGAGGCGCCATGAACAGCAAAGAGGAGGAAGAGCAGTGTAAGGACCACGTCTGGACCAAAGCCACCACCCCATGGGCCGATCTCCACCAGCATCCTCAGCTCAAGGAAGCTCATGCACAGCTGTAACGAGCCAGCAAGTTCTCTGGCAAGGCAGCCATATGCTCCAGGAGACAGAAGCCTCTTGGAAAGCTGCCTGAGCACCTGGCACACCCCAACCACCAGGAAAAAGAAAGCAATGGAGACATTCAGGCCAGCCATAGCAAAGGCTGATCTGGGGGAAAAGACTGGACCAAACCCCAGGAGGGAGCAGGGAAAGCTTCTGCACCTCCTCTTTATAAAGCCACATGTAAGTGAACGTGGCACAGCCTGACAGGCTTGGGAAGTACTGCACATGCTGCCCAGGGCAGCGCCTGCTGCCACAGGGAGCTGAGGGACTCACCACAGCTGGACCAGCCACAAGTGTCCCAAGAAGGGTGGGATGGTGTGGGAAATGTCATGTTATCAGGCACTCCCAGTTAACAGAGCATAAACCATTCAGTATGTATCTTCTTGGCCACCAGCAGTGCTGGCAGGTTACACAGGCCCCTCTCACTGCCCCACCACAGGCAAGGGAACAACAGCTTCTATTAATGCTGTTTTATTTCCAACACCTAGCCATTTATAGAATAAACTGTCAGGAGACACAGGACTGAAGCACGAAGAACCATGGAATAGTTTGGGTTGGAAGGGACCTTAAGGATCACCTAGTTTTATGATGGAAAGTACATTCCCATTCCCTTCCTCCAAACACAGCTGTGACATGGAAAACATTGTGGCATCCATGGTAAAACTGGGGAAAAGAGAAAAAGCCCACCATCTCTTCCTTCCGACAGGTTTTTTTCCCTTCTCCTTTTCAAGCATTCTAAGAGTTGGACCTCAGGAAGTAAATGTTCAGAGGTCTTCAAAAAACTATTTCCTGTCCATTGCCTGTAATTCTGCCCACGGCACATCCTGCCATTGTGGGACGCTTATCCCAGGCTGCAGAGAGGAGCTGGAAGCTGTTGCTTATGAGGGTAATTTTATGGGATTAAATAATACCTATGACAGATACACAAGCAGCTCATTTCCTATCTCGCTTCAGTGCTGACAGCAGAAGGGGGGATGCTGCAAGCTCTGCTGTGGAGCACTGCAAAGGCAAAACCCCTTCAAGAGTCCATGTAGCTTCGCACAGCTGCTCCTCCAGAAACGACTGTCTAAAAACTCAGATACTGCCACCTAAAACCACTGTTCCATGGCTGGAACATCAGTGTCTTTTCTGAACCAAACTGCTTTCAGGGCTGTCAAAAACTACAACAGCTTAAAACACAAGTATTTTAAAGGGGTAGGAACAAGCTGGCATTTCCACAGGTCAGTAAACACACACTCTCCAGAAACACTGGAGGGTAACAAAAGTTGAACAGAACCACACTGGCTTCCTCCCACCCCAGTCTTCAGCCACAGAGCTAACAGCCACAGCTGAATAGAGCTGTAAGGTTATTTAAGGAGAGTTTTACCGTGCAGGGGAGTGGACGAGAGCTTTCCAAAAGCAGCCACCTGTTATCAGCTACTGTGGAAACCCAGCAGCAGGTTTCCTCCCACAGGCAGCCAGATGAAAACGGCTAAAGGAGAAGCACAAGTTAATTGTGCTTCATGAAAAAGCCTGAATCCATGGAACAAGCGTGCACTGAGAGGCAATAAAGAATCATCATCCTTGGCTATAGATACCTGGAATCCAAGGGACACATCTGACCCTGGGAAGGTCTCCCCTGAACCTGGTATGGGGAATAAAAAGCATGTAGCTGTTCCCCCTCGAGAACATTCTGTGGAGACGCTTGGAGTCACATCAGAACCTTCTACGTTGATCCACATTTAAACCAAGCTGGATTCATTATCACAAATCCTTCAGGAAAACACCAGAAACTGGAATCTGCACCTTCGGAAACATCAGTGCACTGAGACACAATTGTGCATTAACACATACTGCCTGTTGTTCCAGTCCCACCCTCCTTGCTTCTGACCTAATACATTTTCTCCAAAGCAGAAATCTGGTGGCCTTTTAGTGTCCAAAAGAGAATGAGCAATCATTAACTTCCCAATGGGCAAATCCCACTAAACCCCAAAATAAACAAAATAATAACAATCACTCCCTACTTGCTGTTCCAATAATCAGGTCAATAAGTAAATGGGATTTGAAATGAAGTTACAATGTGCTGGAAGATATTCCCCCCTGCTCACTGGTGGACAGGAACAGGAAAAAGCAGCATCACCACTGAACTAATGGAACACCAGCATGAGAAGCTGCATCAGCACTGCCCTCCTCCCTTGTAACAGAGCACAGGTAGAGAAATTACAGTCAGGTTCATTGTTCTCATTTCTCGGCAACTCCGCTGCCTCAAGAAAAAAAAAAGAAAATCCTTCCTTTGGCTGGAGTTCAAAGTAGGGGGAAAAATCCCTTGGAAAAACCTGCTTCCTCCACACATCTGGAAAGCAGCATCAAGAATGGAGCTGAGCTCAGCAAAATTGCACATATCTTTCTCACATCACTCAGGATGGCTGTTTTTATGAAAAACAATCTTCAGAGCGAAATGCAAGTTATAAAAATACAGAAAATGCAGCTGTACAAGTCCCTGGGAGCAGGTGTTTGCAGGCAACCGCTGTGCTCACATGTGAGCCACAAGACTTGCGCTGAAACACAACCACCCTCCCCGAGGCACTGCTGTGAAAACATGAATTAGAAATTAAGATCCTCAGTTTCAGCCGTCCTGGTTTTAACCAGTGCTGCTGGCACAGTCCAAATAATTGTGTTCAACTCACAGCAGCCAAATAGTCCCAAAAAGGAGAAATCGTTGCCCCCCATCTTCACTATCTTAAAGAACAATGCTTTAAATACCCATCTTCAATAAATGGATCAAAAAAGTTGGGGCTGCTCTTGGTTTTAGTCTAGGCCCGCTACATGCAAGGGATGAGCAAGCTCACACAAGATTTAACACAATTTATCAAGCAAGCAAAGACTAGCAACTTTCAACTTGTGTAAACCACACTGAGCAAAGACCCTGCTCTCCTTCAAGCAGCACAAGGACAAATACACAGATAATCAGTGAGTTCCACCTAGGCACCTTCTCCCTCCTCTTGTCAACATTTTCCCCCAACAAATTAAATGCAAAATCACTTAAATGCAGTGTTAGAGAACATCAGTTTAAATGTATCAATTATATATAAAGACAAATATCTTACAACAAATTAACCTGAAGAGACAGTGCTTTGTGTAAAACAACATTCTCATGGCTGGTTGAAAAGGCTTCTAAGACGAGTGGTTTCTTCATTTCCCTTTGTCAGTGGTATGAACAAAGCTTGTACAACATGCAAGAAAGGGGAAGAGACAATTTCCCAATAGCACACAGGAAACACACATGATGAGTCCTTGACATTCTCAACCCCAAAGTAAATGCATTTAGACGTCCTTTTCTTTTAGCTAGACTGCTATGCCAACACACCACAGCACTCTTGTTGTTTCAATGGAAAACAGAAACAACTCTCCACAGCCTAAAAAGGCACCATTGCTCTCCTTCCGAGTCCTAGGTGAGCTGTCGATACCCAGTATCCTCACCCCATTAGGCTCTATGGCTCAAACGCTGATCAGCAGTGACAGTACAGACCCAGGAGCTATGTCTTCCAAGCCGGCACCAGGACAGTTCAGTCCCCCCGTTTCCTGTGCTGTAATGTTTATACACAGGATAATGGATGACAGTCATGGTGCAATAAAGCAGTTTTGCTCAGATTAATTCCCCAGTATCACCACATTACCACAATCATGGTTGTGACTGGCCCATGAGTCCCACTCCAGTCACTACCAAAAGGCTACCTTACAGCAAATGGATGGTGGAGATGCGACTGTGACAAACTAGGCTGGGCTTTGCATTGCTCCCTTTGCAAGCAGGGCAAGGGACCTCTTTCCACAGTGGATGAAAAGGGTGTTTCAGAGCTGCTCTCCTTCCACCAGCAACCTGGAACGCTTTGTGTGAAGCATAACATTCCACCAGCAGTGGCAGCAAGGAGAGCTTGCAGTTATTCCAAGGTTGGTACAGACTCTGACAAGTAACAGTTTTAAAAGAAACAGGGCAGACTAGTATAGCATAAACTTATATCCGTCATCATTAAAACATTCATAAGAAGTTTAATTACAAATACATTCTGTTAATCTCATTAAGACATCTAAACATGTACTCTTTCAGCTACTCTTGTCTTAAAAGGTATAAACTCATGATGGGGAAGACCCAAATGTTTTTTAAAAGTTTATTTCTAGCCCTGAAAGAACAGTTATTAAACAAAGTCAACAAATACAGTAGTTAATATTGCAGTAACAATTAAATAACATAATGGGATTAAATTACATAAAAGGCAACATTAAAATCTGAAGACAGTTAAAAAAATAAAAAGAAAGCTTGCACCTACTTCCATTTCCATTGACAGCATGAAGAACAAAGGAAAAACAGACCAGAGACAATTATTTTATTCAACTCTCACTAGAGAGACCTTTAACAACTTTCTTGTGCCCTCCCCAGCCCACCCACTATCCCCTCTGACAAAGGGACCTAGGCTCCCCCATCTGCTCTAACCACCCCTTTGCACTTCCCTGCACCAGACAGTCAGGGGAAAGCCTACAATTAGTCTCATTAACACCTAAGGCAGGTCAAAGTGCACATTCCCAGTACCATGGCTGCTTTTAATGAGAAGCAGTTTATTCCATGGTAACAAGAAAACCTCAGGAGTCACACATTGCCTGTATATGTGCATCTCAGCCATTAGCTGCCCAGCTCCATATACCCAACTAGCCACCCCACTGTATATTACACTTCATACGTATCACATGTGTATCTGATTCTGACTCAGGATCTTACATGGGCACCTGATAGTGAGATGTATGGGAAATCCAGGCCTGCATTCAGATGCAATTCTTCCCTTATCATCATCTACTCGAACTCTGTCTGGTCTCTACCTGTCTACCCTAGTGATACAGCAGAGTTGAACAGCTCTGCAGCCAAGTCTTAGGGACATAAATCTGCTCCCATCAGGGCAAAAACCTCAGAGTTTGCATTTTTCCAGTCTTGCAGACACATCCAGCTGATATCCTTAGAAAAGCAATGCCCAATCCACTAAGACAGAAAAGCTCAACTTTCTTGTGGCTCTCCTCTCCTGCCAGCTCCATCTCTGACCCTGATTTCTGGCAGCATGGGGGTAAGAAACCTTACCACGTAACGACAAAGCTGCTGCGTGGGGAAGGAGAAATGGGGACACTTCTCAACCTCAGAGCTTAACACCTCTGCAGGTCACACAGCAAGGGCCAAGATAAGTTCTGGTAAGTGCTGGACTGGGCCAAGTTTTGGGTGCCAAAATGGCTGAAAGTTCGGAAATCATCTCTTAAG